CCCTTATGTTAGTCAATAACTATTTTAAAGTTGCTTAAAGTTGAAAAATTAAAAAAGGGAAAAAAACGCATAAAATTTTATTTTACTTGCTGCAGGGCTCCCACGGTCTGGAAAATTTTTCAAAGTGGTCGCAAATGTGAGATAAAACTAGATATTTTAAGCAATTAAAAAATATTTAATTTAAAGGAAATATATATTGGTGGAAAAAATAGCTCAAGAATCGAATTTACGAATGAAAGATAAATTTAAGCATTTCTCAGTAATCTTGAAAAGTTTTAGCTATCACTCATTTATTTTTTCCAGTTTTTTTTTTTTTTTTTTTTTTTTTTTTTTTTTAAGGCGTTTTATTTCGTATGTTTCTGGCACACTTTTTTTTCTTATGTCGAAGAAGAGTTCAAGGTGCATAAATCCCCATGGCCGAAGTGCCTCGAAATCTTGAATAATCTAATATCTGACATTGTAGGAGATTCATTTAATATAAAATTTAATAATAATCATTTAATAGAAAAATCGTAGTTGTATGGTGGTAATAATAATAATAAAAAATAAAGTTTAAAAAAATATAAATAATAAAAGAAATAACAAAAAAGAAATAAGAATAAAGTATAATAAAACAAAGAGTAAGAAATAATAATAAAAGAAATAAGGCATTTCATACCTTCAAAATTTGACGTAAATCAGGCACTTAAGCACCAGTAACAAAGTCGGACATTCGCTGATCATGAAATATCGATGCATTTCACTCAATGAGACAGATATGAATAACTCTGTATCAATTTGCCCTTTACAACACTATTCTTAATATGCTTGCAATAAATTTTACTTATAAAGTTTTTTTTTCTTCAAAAACCGTACTTTAAATTACTTTCAGATAGAAAAATTTAAATAAGAGAAGCTATTTCAAAAAATATAACACAATGAAAAACTTTTAAAAAAATACCATAAAGCTTCAAATTGAAACAGCTGAGTTCCACACAAAATTTTCTCCACCCTCATCCAAAGAATTCGAAATTCCGCATTTTTTATTTGATTTTATAATAATTACAAAGTATTTTATGTAACATAAATGCGAGTGAGTACAATGTGGAATATTTTTAACTAAAGAAAATTTTGCAGATACTAGACTTAATAGTTTTTTTTCTAGACTTAATAGTCTTAATAATTTTTTTCTTCATGTTTTTTCGTTTTAAAAATTTTCATATTTGGTTTTTTCAGCAGTCAACTTATACACCTGACATACCAAAAATTACAAGCGGGCAATCAAAAATATAGCGGGCCGACTTATATACCGGTATATACAATATACAGAATTTTATATTTTTACAATTGGGTAAATTATGTTATAATATAAATCTTCATTGTAGTCATTAAACTTATGGTTATAAAAATAACACTTGCTATGATCAATTTAAATCATAAATGTATAGTTTAATATCATAAGAACAGAAGGTTCGAAATACCTTACAGTGCTTAGATACCTCACAGTGCTTACATACCTTACAGAAGGCTACCTTACAGTGTGTGTCGATACGTTGATCAAAAAATGACGTTAATAAAGTGTGACGAAATAAAAATAATAAAGATTACAAGTGAAGCAGGATGTAATGAATACTATTTAAATATTTTTATCTAAGAAAATCAACTTCTGGAGTCGACTTGCTAAGAAAAGAATTATTTACTGATTTGATAGCAATAAAAAACACGGTATTTCGATCTGTTCCGCAAATAACCAAACAATTTGTCGATTCGGGAAAATCTATTCAGCTTCAGTATTTTTCATTTTGGAAAAACAAAGAGTTTTGGAATTATTGGCTACATCTGAAGTTTAAGCACATCGTAAATAAATGCTAATAATTAGGCTAATAATATGATAAAAATTGAATGCTAATAATACGTAGCGGGTCCTAAAATTTGGCTGGGTCCAGTTATTCAAAACTGAACGGGAAAAAAAAATCTAGGTGTATATATGTATAAACTACAGACGTAACTTATGGACGATGGGAGCTACCTAAGGCATTTGCAGCTGTTAATGTTAAACCTTGTAAATTTCAACTTCACCTAGAATATAAGAGGATTCCTAAGTCAAGCCCAGCAACCTTATCAAGTCGACTAAATTCGATTTCTTGAAGAATTTTGTAGCTAAAACTAACGCGTATTCGTGGGAGAAGAGAAAAACCGTTCATTGTTAGCCTGACGTTCAGGGAACTCAACCAGAGAGAAATTGAACATATTGCATCGTTTCCAATAGATAATTTTATTCCGTTATGCTTCAGTTTTATGTAAGTACGAATAATAAAATTTCCCGAAATAAGTTTATTATGTCAAAAATTAATTTTTTTTTATATATAATTTATGGATGTGTCCTTCTTCTCAATCTTAATGTAACTTTCTGTATTATTGATTTTATTATTTGAATTCTTCAAAATAGAAAATTCGAAAGACTTCAATCTTCAAAGAAAGACAACCAGAAAATAAATAATTTATCAAATGCGAAAAACAAGAAGATTTTCACCGAAATCAGAATTTTTCAATTCACGATCGCAACGCTCGAGTACGCCATCTAGCGGGAGCTTGTAAATTTCAGACATTAATTTGTCACGTTTTCATTTAGTTCCATCAAAATCCTTGGCCATGACGGACGCCATTTTCTTAGCAGCAAATAAAAATAAAAATTTCCCTAAGGAAAAGCTGAAGAACTTGAAAAACTAACCAGAACATGCCAAACATTGAAGCAGAACACGCCAAGCATTTGAAGAACAATTTCTCCATAATTTTTACCTTTCTATTACCAACAACATAACTTACAATTTGATGATCACTTGCTGTTACAGATGTGTATATTACGGTAAAATAATTTTTTCTGTCTTCAATTCATTACAAATTAAAATGAAGTCAACATTGCTTTCGTCATTCCAATAAAGAAATGTGAATTCAGAACGTCAAGAACTGCAATAGTTATAGAATTCTTCTTTGTTATAGAACAGTATATATTTCTGTATCTATATAATTCGGAAAACAACAATAAAGAATCAACCAAATTACTTGAAATAGTGTCATTTGTGCTGATGATTAATAAATTTTTTATCGTTTTCTTGGTAAGTATTTCTTAGTTTTGAAAGAATAGATAATTTCAACTAGAATTCAGCTGTTCTGTTTTTAAGCTACATATTCAAATTCATATCGAGATCTTACAATTATAAAATTTTGATGTGTGGTATGTTATCTAAAAGTAATAAAGGGATAATCTATGCACATATTATTTGAAAATAAAACTTTCAAACGAAGAACATTTCATTTGGAACTCTACGGATTTATAAAGAAGGTAAGTGTTATGATTTTTATAATAAAAAATTAGCTTGTAAAACTTTTTTTTCTTATTTGATGATAGTTCTCTACAGAATGGTTTCTTACGTCTGATTAAGAACTATAAGAATAATAAGAAAAGAAACTATATGAAAGTTTTTATTTCAATGTAAAGAATTCTTAAAATCGTTTTTTATCCTAAGAATTCTTTATTTTCCGTTTTATAGTTTATAATTTTTTGATAAAAATTGTTGTCAAAATACTTTTTTTGAAAACATAAATGGTATAACATTATGTGTTTATGTATACTTCTTGCATATTCTAATGTTTCAAGTAATATGATTCAGAAAAGTATGAATAAAAATTCGGTACTTATGTATTAACGCCACAGCAGCTACAGATTTGGCTGTTTTTAAGTGCCGCCAATCTACACCTAAAATTTTTGTGACAAATCATAAAACGAAACACTTTATTTAAAATCAAAGTAGTTTATCGGATTTCGGTGGACAATGGGCAAAATATTTCGCTCCAGAAAAAATAAAATTGCATCTTGTTCTATTTTTGGCAAATCCCAAAGACGCATTTTCGTAGCACTAAAAAATGGTAACAAAAATCGAAGAACAAATCATTTTGGAATTCTTCTGATTTATAAAGCAGGTAAGTGTTAATTTTTATAAAATAAAAAATTTTACTTTTAAGTAGTTTTTTTCTTGATGATAGTTTTCTATAGAATGGTTTTCTACGTCCGATTATGAATCAAAAAAGAAAAAACATGAAAGTTGTTTATTTTAATATAAGGAATTTTTAGAATTGTTTTTTTTTTTTTTTGTTTTTGTTTCGTCAGCATTCTTTATTTTACGTTTCTTAGTTTCTAAATAATGATTTTTATTGAAACTTGAAATTTTTTGATAAAAATTGTTGTCAAAAAACTTTTTTTACAAAATTAAATTTCATAAAATTATGAGGCTTATGTATACTTTTTGTTCATTTTAATTTTTGAAGTAATATGATTCTTAAAACTATGGAATGTAAAGTTTAAATAGGCCTTTCATGTTATATCATTAAATTAAGTAAAACTATTTCTCGGGCATTAGGTTTTAACTCTAATAAGAATATACATATTTTTTTCCGTTTATGTGCAAATATTTTTCCGATGTGTTTTAGATGTTCCTTCTCTAAAAAAAGAGATATCATTTTAATTTCGTTTGCATGAGAAAGGAAATTAAAAAATTTTCTTTTTTAAATATAATTAGCCACGATAATTTTGGAACGTTGCAATGCTACAAGCTACATTAAAGACGTCTCTAGAGTAAATGAATGACTGTTCATATAGAAATCGCAGGTATTAGTCTCATACAACAACGCCCCCTATAGTTCGTTGCGATCGCGAATTGAAATTGTGGCATTGATGAGAAAAATTTAGAGGAATCGTAATGACTTTTTATCATTTATTTCTTTTATATTACATGTATAAAAGTAGCAATTTAAAATTTCTTAAACTAAGAAACCTTATTCGAAAGTGAATAATAAAAAAGAATTTATTTTTAATTTTATTTTTCAGTTTCAGTTAATATGTAATAAAAGTGGGTTAACGTCCACTGCAGATTGGTAAGCAACTATATCAACCTTCAACGACGATTAAGTGCTCTATTTTCATCCTTTTTCATAAAAACCTTTAAGGTCGTAATCCGCAAATAAGGTTTATGTTGCTGTTTATATTTGCTTGTGTACCAAGGCAACACACTTAGATTTTGTAACTGATTTAACGTCTCAATCGTTCATTGCCAGTCTAAAACGTTTTTTTGGGAGACGGGGCAAGTGTTCAAATGACCGATAATGCAAAAACATTTATCGGTGCTAACATTGAGATTAAAAAGTTAAGGAAAATGATAAATTGCCCAGATGAGACGTTAGCCAGTTATTTTACTAACGAAGGGATTGATTGGAAATTTATCCCACCAAGGTCACCAAACTTTGGGGGAATTTGGGAGGCTGGTGTGAAGTCGTTTAAGTTCCACCTAAAAAGAGTAATCGGCAATCAAAATTTAACTTTGGAAGAATTCTTAACAATTTTGACTGAAATTGAAGGTGTTTTGAACTCCAGACCTCTCACTCCACTTTCACCGGAGTTTGATGAATTTGAAACTCTATCACCTGGTCATTTCTTGATAGGTAGGCCCATCATCTCACTCGCTGAACCCCAACAAATAGATATAACTGAGAATAGGCTTTCTAACTGGCAAAAGATTAATAAGTATAGTCAGAGAATATGGAAGTTGTGGAAAAGAGACTACCTTAATAATTTACAGGAACGTAATAAATAGAAATTTGAAAAGAATAATGTAGAAATAGGAACCCTGTGTTTGATAAAGGAGGAGAATTTACCATCTACACAATGGTTAGTAGGACGTATTGTTGAGGTGATGCCTGGCCATGACAGAAAAATAAGAGTAGTGAAGTTAAGTTTACCTAATGGCAAACTACTTCTAAGAAATATTCGTGACATTTGTATTCTTCTCATAGAGTAATTGTGTAAATGAAAAATTAGCTTTAGTTTTATATCTCAATGTCTTTTATATTACAATGTTAATTGGATTTAGTGATTTATGTTATTGAATATAGCAGTGGTTAATTGTGTGAAATGTTAAAAGTATTAATGAAGTCACTTATGAGTGAATTGAATATAACAATGATTGCCTGGTTGAACCAGTGCAATGTGGGGCGGTATGTTCAGTTTTGTATGCGAGCAATGCCCTCTGTGAAGTAACGCCTCCTGTGTAAGAAACGAGAACTAGTGTGTGTATTACCAACCTCGAGAGAGGCAAGTGTGTGAATTCCATGTGCAAATAAAATAACAGTCCGCTGCGTTAATATGTGTTTTGTGTCTCATGTTAAGAGAAATAACAGTAATGATTTGTAAAACTCAAACTTTAGCATATTTAGAAATAACTGCTTCAGATGATCGTTAGATTGCATCTCAATTAATTCAAGCTGCAAATCTGACCTCACTGTTTCACAATAAAGTTGAAAGGCATGATAAAAATATCTAATTCTGTTTGAATGGCACTGAAATCTTAAAATCTGCATTCAAATTCAAAATAGAGTTTTTTCAAGCCATCTTCATAATTCCTAAGCTTTTCCTTATTTACTGATGGTAATGAATTTAACCTCGAAAAATAAGACAAGTCGTACTCAGCCATCTGTCCAGCAAACAGATTAAGCTTCAGTTTAAAAGCTTTGAGATGGTTCCAGATTAGGACTGGGCGATATAAAAAATTTTATATCGTGATGCATCGTCAGTTTTGCATCACGATATAGTATTTTTGAAATTCATTTACTTGTAAGACGCAGAAAGTCAGATTCCTATCAAAACTTCATACTCAGATTGATTTAAATTAATTTATGAATTTGATGCATATGTTTAGCTTAAGAAAGATATTAATGTTATATTTTCTAAAAATGATCGCGCAAATAACGAAAGATTTCTTAGTTTAAAAATAAATAATAAAAAAATAAATAAAATTGAAATTTATCAATATATTTACCTAACAATATAGAAAGAAAATTTAAAAAATAAGTTCGTTAAAAATTATTTGTATGCTTAAAACAAAGTGCTAAATAAATTAAAAAAAAAAAAAACACTTTTAAAACAACACTATTTTTTATCATTATTATTTCACATAAATAATAAAGTTAAATTGAATAATTACCGAATTCTGAACGAAAAAAAAAAATAAGGTTTAATTTCTTAAAAATAAAAACAAAAGAATTATGATACGAACTAAGGTAGACAACGTTAAAGAGCACAAAAATATTATTAAAAGCAGACAGCTGTTTCGGATGAACTTTAAGGCACGCTTAGTTTGGCCAATATATGAAAGGCCGCGTTGGCAATTAATTTGGTATATACCCCAGTTATTTTGACTGTCAATGGGCTGTTTGAGATTAGAAAATTTTATCTTATTAATGGGACTGAAAATAATATTGAAATCAAACTTCATTAGGATGTTAGCAACTTGCCGACTTATTTTAGGAAAATAGGGTAAAATTACCAAATTGTTAGAAAATTCTTTGGAAGGTTTATCGGTAGGCGATTGTTTAGTTACGTTTTTATAAATATTATCAATAATGCTAGGGGAATAACCTCTGTCATGAGCAATGGCTTTGATGTAGTTTAATTCTGCATCAAGAAGATCAATATTGGAACAAATATTAACAGCACGGTGGACAAAAGACCGAAAAGAGGCAAGTTTTTGGTTGGGAGGGTGGGCGGATCTGTAATGAGGGGGAAGAGAAACAGCAAAAGGTTTACGAAAGACAGTAGTATGGAATGAATTATCATTCCGAGTCACAAGCACATCTAAGAAAGGAAGTTTTTGATCAGACTCTAATTCAAAGGTGAACTGAATGCAAGAATCAATGCTGTTCATAACATTAAGGATTTGATCTAAATTACAATTATTTTCCTCTAACAAAGCAAAACTGTCATCAACGTATCTTT